GACGGCGGTAAGCGCTGGGGCCGGCGGCTCGGGCGGGGGCCCCGGCATGGGGGAGGGGAGGGCTGCGGCTCCGGGCTCCGGGCCCCTCTCCGCCGCCGAACAAAGGGGGGGACGCGGGCAGAGCGGCCGGGGGCGCCACCTGGCGGGCGCGATCGCGGCTGCAGGGCCAGCGGGGGAGCCCCCAGCCCAGCTCCCGGGGTCGGCCTGCGGGGCTCGGGCGGATCCCCTCTCTCTTAAAGGGCCCCGCGGCCCCCGCACTGGAGGCCAGGCCGGAGGGGCCCCAAAGGGCCTGGCCGGGCGGCACGGGTCGCGCGCTCTAGGCTGGACTTGCTGCCCCCGCCCCTTTCTCTTTCAGACTCCCAGGTGGTCTCCCTTATCCGGTTGTCTCTTAAGTCTGCCCAGACCGTGGGTCCCTTTCGGGGGGCTTCCCCCAGAGGAGCGGAGCCGGGAACTCCGCTGCTTTCAGTCGGGCTGCTCCTCTTCTCTTGTGGCCTTGCTTAGAGAAAGGAACCCTTTTCTTTTTCCCCATGTTCCCCCTAGGAGAGCGCATCGCTTGCGCCTCGGGGGGGCCCACCACTACCTTCCCCACGACGGGCAGCTTTTAAAGGGATGGGCTCGCCCACAAAGGCAGACACCCACTCCTGTCCGCGCGTTATCTCCTCCCTTCTTTTCAGAAATTTTTGCCACAATTGGTCAGCTCTAGCGGGACCCGCCAGTCTTCCCCGTTCGCTCTCAGAAGAGACTTTCTCCATTTCCTTGCTGTAGGGTCAACGTGAAGACCCGTGAAGGTTCTGTCCAGCCCAGGGAGGCTCTGCCCTCATCTGCAGTTCCCCTCCCAGAAACTCCCCATCCCCTTTTGTTTTTAAAGAATCTCAGCTCCTCCCCTTTTTTCGGCTCTTAAAGTGCCAGTCCACCCTAGACTAGCACAGCTCCAGCGCTGGAAGGATGCTCAGAGACCAGCTAGCTCTCTAGTGCCTTTGCAGACAAAGGCGCTTAGGCCCAGAGAGCGACATGACCTATCAGAGGTCACAGAGCAAGTTACGCGTGAAGCTCAGACTCGAACCCAGGTCTCTGACTCTGAAGCCAGTGCTTTTTCTTCCGATCTACTGAAACCAAAAACAAACGAGAAACACAGTGGTGACGGGAGCCCTCTCTGATCCTGTCTTTTGTTTCCCGACCCTGAGATTCTCCACGATCTACTTAAACCAAAAACAAATGAGAAACACAGTGGTGACGGGAGCCCTCTCTGATCCTGTCTTTTGTTTCCCGACCCTGAGATTCTCCACTGGGAGAATGACCACACCTGTGCATTAAACTTAGAATGCCAGGAGACCGTTTTCCAAATAACATAGGGTCTGAACTATAGGGAGGGTGGGGGGCAGCTCGGGGACTCTGTCTGGCAAAAGGGAACAGCACTGGGTTAGTGGGGTCTGCTCGGGCCTCCCGGGTGCCCGCCCTCTGATTGCTGGGCAGTGGCGGGCTCCCTGCCAAAGCAAAAAATAAATCTCCAGAAAGACTTAATGGACTCCAGTGGGTGGTGGCCGCTCTCTGCCGCAGAATTGTCAGTAGCCACTCTGTTGGCCCCCCCCCGGTGTCCCCTTTTAGAGTCATGCGCTCTCCCAGACTCTAGGGAAGTCAGGGTCTTAAAAACTCCTTTCCCTGGAGGTTTGACAGCTTTGTCATGGGGATCCCTCCTGTGGGGAACTGACGATGCTTAGGGCCTCCTATAATGGGACTCTCAGGAGGGTGTATTTGGGGCATTATTGGAAAAATGGAGAAGACCTTTGGGTGGGGCCCTCCTGGCTGGGGCCTCAGGCGGGTGGGTCCTGTGTGCAGCCCTGGATGCAGACAGATGCCCCCTTTGTTCTTCTCGCCCCGCTGCCCGCTCTGCTCTGCTCTGCTCTGCTCCGCTCCGGCTGTAACCGCCCGGGCCTGCTGCTCTCCTGGCTTTACCCTCACAGCTCTCGTCCAGGAAGGGTGCCTTACAGAGCTGGCTGCCTCCCTGGCTGTCACCTTATTTTTGGAAAAGTCAGAGCTAGTCCCTGACAGTGCCCTGCATCCTTTTGTTCCTGATCATCTCTTAAAGGGTCCTCGCTCTTTGTGAAGGGCCAATGTTTTGCCTCCCTGCTCTCCCACATCCCTTTTACTGCCCTTGTCATCCCTTTCCTGCCCCAGAACACCCCTCCCCCACCTCCCTTTCTCAGGCTGCAAAATCAAAACCTTGGGTTCTTTCCCTGGAAATTGGAGATTGAAAAACTGTCTCCCTTTCCCCCTCTTCAGGGCAAGATCTTCAGCTGGAAGGGGGTGCTTTGGGGTCCTGGGGGAGTGCCCCCCTGCCCTCCTCCAGGGCCAGGGGACCAGCATCTTCAGGCAGGAAATACTCAGACCACTGTGAGGCCCGGGCCTCGAGGCCTGGAAAGAGCCGCATCCCCGGCCGTGACCACCGGCGCTACTACCACGACCACTGGCGGCTGGAGTACCTGATGGACTTCAACCCTGCCCGGCACGGCATGGTGTGCATGGTGTGCGGCAGCTCCCTGGCCACTCTCAAGCTCAGCACCATCAAGCGGCACATCCGTCAGAAGCACCCCTACTCCCTGCATTGGAGTCCCCGGGAGAAGGAGGTCATCAGCAACAGCTGGGATGCCCACCTTGGGCTGGGGGCCTGCGGAGATGCCGAGGGCCTGGGGGCCCAGGGGGCTGAGGAGGAGGAGGAGGAGGAAGAAGAAGAGGAGGAGGAGGGGGCTGGCCTCCAAGCTTGCCCGCCCAAGGGCCCAGGTAATGGAGGACATGGAGAGGCAGGGGCCTGGGTGGCAGGTGGGGCCAGGTGGGGCCAGCCCTGGCTTAGCCAGCCAGCTGCTTTTTTTCAGCAAGTCACTGTTCCTTTTCTGGGTGGGGCTTACCTATTGTCCTTATTGTATCATAGTGGGGGAGGGGGGACGGGGGGGACGGTGGGACGAAGGGGTCTCCAATGTCCCAGACAGCTTTGACATTCTGTGCTTTTAGGAGGATCAAGAAGAGTGGAGGCTGGAGGGATAGGCAGGGGAAGGGCTGGGAGCAGAGGGTGCTGGAAAGGTATGGCTGACAGAGAAGTCCAGGAAAGGGGCTAGAATCTGGGTCTGGGGAAGAGTGGGTGGCCTTCCGGTTTGTATGCAGGAGGATTAGGAGATGGAGGAGTTAAGACTTGAGGGGAGAGGAAGAGAAGGGCAAAGGGTAGGCTGGGGGCTCAGAGGCAGAGTGAGGGAGAGGAGAGGCTTCTGGAGGACCTGGCTGTGGTGGGGGGGCTCCCCCAGAGGGCCAGCATCTCAGTTCCTTCCCTCCCTCCAACCCTTTCAGGCAAAGCCCCAGCTGGTGGGGGCAGCCGGCGCCAGCTGCGAGGGGGCCCAGTGGCACCCCGGGCTCGGCGCCGTCGCCTCTCAGCCTCCCGGAGGGCCGGGGGCAGCAGGGGGCTGGGTGCCCGGCGCCTGGAGCGGAGGCTGAAGGAGTCCCTGCAGAACTGGTTCCGGGCAGAGTGTCTCATGGACTATGACCCTCGGGGGAACCGGCTGGTGTGCATGGCCTGTGGCCGGGCACTGCCCAGCCTGCACCTGGACGACATCCGTGCCCACGTGCTGGAGGTGCACCCCAGCTCCCTGGGGCTCAGCGGCCCCCAGCGCAGCGCCCTGCTGCAGGCCTGGGGCGGCCCGCCCCAGGCACTGTCCGAGCTCACCCAGTCCCCACCAGGTGCGAGGCCCATCCCAGGGCCGAGACCCCCTGTTATAAGGGCTGCAAAGTGGGGTCTGTGGTCAAACCGGGAGGGACTCATTCCCCTCCACATGGCACTGGCTGGGGCTCTAGCTTGGGGCTAGGGTGAGGAGCAAGGGACCCCCTCTGCCTGGGTAAGGGCGACCCAGTCAGCAGGCTGAGCCCCTCTCCCTCACCCCTTCCCCAACAGACGATGACCTCGTCCCCCAGGACCTGACCAGAAAGAGCCGGGACTCCGCCCTCGCTGCTGGAGCCCCCTCCTCTCAGGATCTCAGCCCCCCAGACGTAAAGGAAGAGGCTGGCTGGGTCCCTGAGAGGCCCGGGCCGGCAGAGGAGGAGGAGGAGCTGGAGGAGGGCGAGAGGGTGGGGGTCCCGGGCCGGTCGCCGCGGGGCCGCCACCGCCGCCGCCACTCCCAGGAGCGCTGGCGGCTGGAGTACCTCATGGAGCTGGACGGCGGCCGGCGCGGGCTGGTGTGCATGGTGTGCGGGGGCGCGCTGGCCTCGCTCAAGATGAGCACCATCAAGCGCCACATCCGCCAGCGCCACCCGGGCTCCACGCGCCTCAGCGGGCCCGTCAAGGCCCTCATCGCCCAGGAGTGGAGCGAGAAGGCCGCCCACCTGCTGGCCCTGGGGCTGCCCTGCCCCGAGTCCCCCGGGGACCCCGCCGCCCCCAGCACAGCCGCAGCCTCCGAGGAGGGGGGAGGGGCAGAGGAGGAGGAGCCGGAGGAAGAAGAGTGGTGGGGTGAGCTGGTGGAGGGCCAGAGCAGGTGGAGAGGGAGAGCGGGGCCAGGCAGGGAGAGAGGGTTGGGGAGCGCTCGGGAAGACGGAGGTGGTGAGCGGAAGGTTGAAGGGAGACGGGAGGATGGGACAGGAAGGCAGGGCGGGGCGGGGTTATGAAGCTGAGACGCAGGACGCGGGCTGCGTTTGCCCCACCGGCTCCAATGCGGCTTTTTGTCCCTTCCTAGGCGATGTCCCGCTTTCCCCTGGGGAGCCGTCGGAGCGGCCTGCCGAGGAAGAGGAGGACGACGAGGACGGCCAGGAGCCCGGGGGACTCGCCTTCCCTCCGCTGCCCCCGCCCCCGCCGCCGCCCCCGCCGCCGCCGCCCCGCAGCCGAGAGCAGCGGCGGAACTACCAGCCGCGCTGGCGGGGCGAGTACCTGATGGACTACGACGGCAGCCGGCGCGGCCTGGTGTGCATGGTGTGCGGGGGCGCGCTGGCCACGCTCAAGGTCAGCACCATCAAGCGGCACATCCTGCAGGTGCACCCCTTCTCCATGGACTTCACGCCCGAGGAGCGCCAGACCATCCTGGAGGCCTACGAGGAGGCGGCGCTGCGCTGCTACGGCCACGAGGGCTTCGGGCCGCCCGCCCCGGCGCCGCGCGACGGCGGCGCGGACCTCAAGGCGGGCGCCGTGTGTCGGGCGTAGCGGACTCGGGCCCGGCGGGGCCGGCGCTCTGGCTGGGAGACCCTGCTTCCCGCGGCCCCGCCGCTGCCGCTGCCCCCCGCTGGCCGGGCCGGGCGGAGACTGGGGTTGGGTGGGGCGCCAGCTTCCGCTCGGCGCAGTGGAGCCCCCGAGCTGGCCGGTGCGCCGCAGGAAGCGCGCTCCCCTCGCACCCGGCGCCCCGGCCCTCCCCGCGCAGGGCCCACGTGTCCCGAGAAGCCACAGCGGCCTCCGAGCGTTTGCGCGGAGAGCTTCTCGCCCAGCCAGTGTCCGGCCGCACCCCACGAGGCGATCGTGTGCCCCGCGGGGATGGGGGGCGCCAACAGTCAGTGTTAGGGCTCCAAGGGTGGGAGGAGGGCGCGAAGGCCGCGCCGGCCCCTTCCCCTGCCCGGGGGCCCATCTCTCGGCGGCGTGGCACGCCGCAGGCACGGCTCCCGGGTCGGGGGCGGCCGCTACCCTGGCATTATTGATATTCTCGGCCGCGGAGGCTTGGACTGAGCGCCGGGGCCCCAGCAGGAGGCGGGGCGAGGGGGCCCGGGAGCCCGCGGGGCGGGCACGGGGACTGCGGGCGGGGCGGGGGTGGAGCTAGGCCGGGCCCGCCAGCCTCCCGGGCGGGCTCTGCGGACCGCGCGCCCGGCCGCCCCACCCGCCTCCTCGGCCACGCCCGCCCGGACCGAGATCTTGTATGGGATCAGCACTTTCTTCCTTTGCTCCTCTCCTGCTCCAGGGCCTCCGTTACCCCCGCAGCTCAGTCAGGCGCTCCTGCTTCAGCGCCCCCGTCAGTCGGAGCCCGGGGCACTGGAGGTCCCGGCAGGCCGCGTTGTATTCCCGTCCCCTCCCTGTCCCCCTTTGTACGCGGTGGATGCGCCACCCGTTCTCCGCCCCCAGGGCCTGGGGCCGGGCCTCGGCCTCCCTTTCTCTTCCCCGTGGCAGCGCCAGGCCCTGTGGGGCCGGGAGGGGGCCCCGCGATCTCCCAGGCAGGTCCGAGAGGGATGTGTAGATTCATTCTCCCGTGGAGAACACGTGGCCCCGAGATCAGGCCCCTTTTGCTCTTTGTATTTTATTTTGAAACTGTATTTAATGCTTTTATATGAAAGGGGGAGGGGCGGGGAGGGAGCTGTCCCGGTCACCCTTATGTGCAAATGTCTTATTTATTATGCGTGTATCAGAGATAAGCTGTGAGGTGGTGGAGGAAGGATCTAAAGGAAGAAGCAGCAAGGACAGAGGCGGGGATGGGAGGACCCCAACCATCCCAGGCTCATGTGTGACTCTCCAGGCCTCTCCTCCAGTCTCTGAACTCCAATGTCTGCTCTAGATGTAGCCCGACCAATTCCTTTGGTTTTAAAGCCTGAGAACGGGGAGGTCAGCGCGTGGGGCGTGAGGGCTGGGTTTGAAGGAGGAGGGGCCCTGACACCAAGTGCGGGGGGGCTGCCTCTGTGGGTGGGAAAGCAGAGCAAAGAGGAAGCCCCTCCTCTCATCCCGGCCCCCCAGGCCAGAGCTCAAGGATCAAGTGCCTGGGCCCGGGCCATTTGACTTCCTGACTGGGAATTGGGTTTTATACCACGGATTTTATAGCATTTTTACATAATTCAAGATTGTCAGAGTTGGAAAGACCTTGGAGATCAACTAGTGCTCGCCCCCCACCCCTCTCACGGATAGATAAAAGGAAGCCCAGAAACTGAAGTGACCACACAGCCAGGTAGGAACAGTACAAGAACTAGAATAAAAATCTCTGTAACTCCCAATTCAGTGCTTTTTGCAACTACACCACACTGCCTCCCCATCTCTTGTAAGTTACTAGAATTTTTCCCCATTGGGCCTGCCAAAGGATGGCATGTGCTGGGTGTTGCAGGCCATCAGTGCAGTCATGACCTCCTGGGGATGGCATAGAATGCCCTCTTCCTTGGGATGAGTCTTCTACAGGGCAGCTCCTGCCACCAGAGGTTCAGCTGGAGGATGTGGGGAGCAGCCTCCTCCATCAGAACTTCAGGAGTGGGGCTGGCTGCCATCTGGGCCCAGGGCTCTGGCATTGTGTTCTCTGTTACTGATGCCACCAGGGATTCAGGAAGTACTGCATGGGCCATCAGTTGACTGAGAAAATTCCCAGTGTGTTGGAACCTTCAGGGTTTTGAGACAGTATTAAAAGCTCGAGAACAGGGATTACAGATCCCAGGCACCAGGCTGGGCACTGCCATTCTTTTATTTTCCTTCGTGCATGTTGTTTTCAGATCCAGAGTGAGTTTTCTACTATTTGCGCTACTCTGCCCGCTCAAAAACAGTAGGCAAATTGGGGCAACCTATTAGAGTCGCCCAAGTCCACTGTCGAAGTTTGGGTGAGCCGGGGCAGAAAGCAGCTGGGGAATGGTTTGTCCTCCCAATCAGTAGGCAGGCAGAGGCTTTAGGAGTGGATGTCTTCCTTGAGAGGCAGCCCCAAGTACTCCGCTGGTTCTCAAAGGGTGGCCACCCCACCAGCAGCATTACTTTAGGAACTTACTAGAAATGCAAAATCTTGGGCTGCACCCCACTGAATCAAACTGGGGTGAGGCCCAGTGATCCATTCTGATAAGCCCCCCAGAGATCCGAAGCTCACTGAAGTTCTGAGCACCTCTGATCTAGAAAGTGCCACTGTAGTGACTCCTACTTTGACTGCAGCTGTGGCCTCGCGGGTCGGGGGTCAGGTGGTTTTCATCTCTAACCGTGCCTGCTCCTTGCCTCTGGAGTCTGACATGAACAGGTGAAGCTTCTTCATGAGTTTTTTTGTTAATGGTATGCTTGCTATTAGGGCCAATATGTAAATGTTACTCTGAATACATATTTATATACCATGTTAGTGACATTATTCAAACATTTGTATGCGTATTTGTGAAGTTGTTTGCATCAGTTATTTTTTAAAAATTTCAGCCTACGTTTTCTAAGAGGTATGTTGAATAAATTTAAAAAAATCCAGGTTAAGGGTCACAGCAGCCTTAGTTTGGGAGAAGAGCAAATCCGAGGTGACGAGCTGTCAGCAAAGACCTGACATACTGTTTCCGTTTTCTATGGTGACTGACTCCACTGAAGTGCACTGTGACCACATGTGGTTTATAGGCTGCTTCCTGTCGCAGGCAGGGAACCCTCCTAGGTGGTGTGAGGCTGAACTGGGACAACAGACCCCTCTGGCCCCTGCCACTCCTCATCTTTCTCCTAAGGTCACCTCTTAGAGGGTCTCATTTTCATTCAGAAACCAAATGTACACTTTTGCTCTACTATGGAAATTCTACAGTCTTGGCAATCATCACCAGTATCAACTATTAGTTGCTTTCTAAAGCCTCAAAAGTGGAGTGGGGATGGGGGCCAGTGGAAGCCTTGTTTGGTTCTTACTTTACCCAAACTGTGTATAAAGAATAAAGTTAGCAGAATGACACCATAGTCACTGTGTTTTTTTTTTTTTTTTTATTAATATCACATCAATTTGCAGTTTTACAGGAACCAAGATTCAAGCTCCTTAGGTGCTACTGTATTTTTATGTTGCACGCACATATACGCACACAGTTTCATTAGTAATTTTTCATCTATAGGCTTTTCTTAAAAAAAAAAAAAAAAAACAATTCCTGTGTGGCACAAAGATCTGTCCAATTATCTAAACACAGCAGTAACAAAACAAGAGAGCTAGGTGTGGAGGCTTCCAGTGCAGAAAGAGGTCCTTTGGAGGGGAAGCCCAAAAAGATGATCAGTGCTCTGACTTCCTGGGAGGGCAAAGGATGGCGATGGAGAACGTATTTCCTACTATGACATGAAATCAGTTTAAAAATTCAAAAGGAAGGGAAAGGGGGCTAAGGAAATAAGAGAATGGAGTAAGGCAAAGGTACCTTTTACTCATCTAAATTCCTAAGTAATTTTCCCAAAAATGTGGAAAGAAAATTTCCTTCCACTACCTTCTACAGAGTTGTGGTGCTCTGGGACCGTCCAAGATTGTAGCCCTTCCTTTAAGTCACCAGTGCGTATTCCCTCTGGATTACCATGACTACGAGTTACAACCTGAGGGAACTCACAGATGACTATTCTTTCAAGTTTACTGCATGTTCATGTTGGAAGGGGTGGAAGAGGCTTATCGGTCTCAAACGGGCATCAAACATTCCCAATCGCCCTCCATCCTATGTCAGCGTGAGTTGTTAACTGTGCACAGAGCCCATAAACACAATCTGACCCTGCCCAGTCGCCCTGACCTAAAGCTTAGGGGTTGGGAAACACTCTCAAAAGGAGCACCCTGGGCCGTGGCAGAGGTGCTAGGACATTTTATGTGCCTGAAAATGAAAGGAACCCTCAAAACATAACACACACCCATAAGCGAGCCTCAAAGTCACAACTCCATATGAACCACAAAACGCACTCCCTATACTAATTTGTGGTCTCTTAACCACAGACACACACAGTCTCCTCTCAAGCCAGCTCGGCTGTGGTCCTTTGGGCAACATGAGGAGCACAGGTTCAAGATGCAGTGTGTGGAGGAGGAAGCCGTAGGGAAAAGATCAAGCAAAGAAGGCCTTTTGTAAAGTTTCTGTAATTTACCTCTTGAGAATGTTCCCCTCCACGGACTGAGATAGGATTACAATAACTCAATAACTGAGGAGCCCACATGCAGAGTATTTTTTTTCTCTAACAAGTTTACAGCAGTGTACAGCAGTTACAGACATTTATTTCATAATAAGAAAAGTACGACCTTATTCATTAAACTCGAGGTGAGGTGGGCAGGAAAGAGAGAGGAAAGCACATTCAGGAGTGAGTTCTCCAACTCACGCTCAGAACTGGTGTCCAAGAAAAATGACAGGCACCACCTTCCCAGATGGTGAAGCCTTTCCTTCCCTGGGGATGAGCGGCAGAGGCTCTGCAGACTCCCTCCTCGGCCCCGCTTTCTGTTTCCATTCGTGGTTACCAGATGGCATTCTGGGACGCAGGAGCGATTACTACCACCTATAAGTTATTCACAGAGTTGAAAGTCATATTATTAAGCGAAGAAGAGGAATTTTAGGAGTAGCTGCTCACATTGTGGGGCAGGAAGAGGGGATCAAGGGCTGTAAAGAAAAACCCATGGGAAGGCATCCCACTCTTGTCCCAGATAATTTCTTCATAAGTTAATCCTTATTTCTTAACTTAAAAATAAGGGCAAAATGATGACGGGAAGCTGTGTGAGACTAGTCCTTGAACACTGAAGAGAAGAACCCAAGAGATGTGTTTCAGCTTCCATTTTCTCCTTTACCTCCAACCTCTCCCCTTTCAAGCTACACGTAAAAGCTCCACCACCGCCTACGTATTGATTTATCCTATTCAACTGATTCTTTCTTTATTCTTTTGGGTTCTACGATATCAGTTCTTTTTTTAATCCAACAATTCTTGTGCTTGATACTGTGGGTAAAGGGAAAGGAGGGGAGAAACACCAAATTAAAAAAAAAAAGCCTGGAATGCAGGCCCAAGCTGACACTGAGCACGTTCCTTCATAGTACAAGTAACAACGTTATAACTATTAGATGGTGTTTTAGTAATGGGTGCATTTCTGGTTTCCATGTACTCATTCTGCCTTCTTTTTGGCGATTCCAGGTAGTTTTGCTTGGATCCTATTAAGGAAAAGAAAAAAAAAAAGGTGAAAACATAGATATTACATTAGTTCTAGATTTTTACTTTAACAGTGATGCTAGAAGAGAGTCCTGGACTTGCTGGAGCCACGTGAGCAACAGTCCCTCACTTGCGCAGGGCGACTCTGGACGAGGAGAGCAGGGGCCGAGTCTGGTCTGGGATGACTGAGGGGTCCACCAAGATCCACTCCGTCTCCCTGCCACCGTCCTCTCACTGCCAGAACCTCTGGGTCCTTCACTGTGGGTCCCAGAGAAGAGTAAGCAGTATCTGGCATTATGCCTGCTGCCCGTGCTCCACACACGGGCAGTGCCAGAGCCCATTTCTCTGGGAATGCCAGGTCACCACTAGTGACCTGGAGTCAAGGGTCAAGGAGACACATAAGAAAGCTAACCACGGGGGGGCTGTCCCCGTGGCATAGCGGTTAAGCGCACCCACTCCACTGCTGGCGGCCCAGGTTCGGATCCCGGGCGCGCACCGACGCACTGCTTGTCAGGCCATGCTGTGGCAGCGTCCCGTATAAAGTGGAGGAAGATGGGCACAGATGTTAGCTCAGGGCTGATCTTCCTCACAAAAAAAAAAAAACTAACCACCGGAGTTGGCAGTAGTTCCCAGCCCCTCACAGGACACCAAAGTGGCCCTTCATTTTCTTCATTAAGGTCACCCTTGACTAAGGTCATTCCCATCCCTCAGCTAACGGCAAAGCCACTTCTCACAACTGTTACAGCCCAGAGCAGGGGCCCAAGTCAGCTGACATTGCTAATCAAGAC